ACATCTATATATGTCTGTGGTAATATTATAACTTTGTTCTTAAAATACAAATATGGTGTCCATTTTTGAACAAAGATAGAGTTTTTTTATATAGAGTTTTCTACATCGATATATTAGTATTGCTATATTCAAGGAAATGGTTAATTATTACAAGTTATAGGTGTACTTAAGTATCATTTTTAGATTGTAAAGACCACCACAAATAACTATGCATACCACATCCTTTGGTCCACGTTTAACATATATATATTTTTAAAAAAATATTTTTAAAGATTTTCAAGGTTATTTTAACCCCTCTTTTTTATTGTTCTGTTTTCTCCTAGTTTTTTTGCTTTAATATGTATCCAATATTGGAAATAGAGGTATTATCCCTTTTTTTTTTTATATTCTCTTTATATATCTTTTTATACATTTGTCATTTTGTGGTGAGTGCTAAGGCCGTTTTCTATAATAATGGGCATAATGTAACGAGGTTTTAGTCACTTGTAGCTGTAACAGTGCTACATTGCGACTAAACCCGAATGCCAGTAAAGCATCACGTAGCCTCTCTCTGCTACGCATGCGCGCCAAAAATCTCCCGAGGACTATTGATCCACGAGAGGATCCGTAGCTTGAAGGAGATTGTTTTTGGTGTGCGCATGCGCGAATGCAGCGTTAGGGCGCGAAAATCTGAAAATGGAATGTATATAAGAAGGAAGAACGGTAGCAAGAACATCACAGCATCCACAGCTCCTGAGGAAGTCCCGAAAAACGCGGGGCGAAACGCGTTGAGCCGATATCATCAGACCAGCGAACCAGCAGTCCAGAGACCGTATTTAAGACCTTTCTTTTTCTTTGTCTATGCATGTTGCTGAACAGCTGCAAGTAGCTATACAGACCTAGGATCGCTACCTAGATCTATGTATTCCATCTATTCTGCTTGTTAGCATAGCAGTGTCTAGACACAAGTTGTTTTAGAGTCTCATAATTGGACTGCTGTTTAGCGATCCTTTATATGTTTATTATTGTTTTTTAACTGCATGATGTGCAGAATAAAATTGTTCATTTTTTATTGAACTTGTTTATTTGCCTGTATAGTTTAGCGCCCTCTTAAAGGTGGGTTTTTTTCCCATCTTATATTTGTTTAGTGATTTTTATAGGTTTTTTTAGAGTGTACCTATAGAGTGGCAGCTTTTCTACTATAGACTAGTTCTATAGTATCTAGTATCTGGATCCATCACATTCTTTCCATATTCTGGTATATCTCAAATCCGCCCACACCCTGTGCCAAAGCGGATCCTCCTGCTACTTCTTGACACCCTGTGAATGTGGAGCACGTCGACGTCACGTTGGAATGTGACGTGTCATTTCGTGCCTTCGTGCACCTGCAGGTCCTCCACTATCCAGCCTCGGCCATTGCAACACTGACCGACACCCAGATACCTACTGACAGACACACATACACACACTGACACAGACACACTCACTGACAGACACACAGACAATTACTGACACACACTCACTGACAGAGAGACAGACACACACACACTCACAGACACACACACAGACACACACACACATATAATTAATATATTCGCTACCCTGCCTGCCTATCTTGTGCAACCCTTCAGCTGACTGACGCATTTTGCTGATGAGTCTGTCTGACTCATTCAAAGATTGCTGGACATATTTTAACAATTTCCTGGAAGAAATGGACTTCACAGGAGATGAGATTGGTCAAAGTTTGCAGCAGGAGAGATTGTAATCCTTCCCAATTCTCATTATTGCATATTGTACAGTATACATTGTGTATCACCTACTGAATATTGTTCAGTATACAACAGTAAGAATTATTCCATAATTATTAATAATTTCACGGTACCTATATAAAGCACTAATCTGCTCTAAGTCCTTCCTGTGTTTTGTTAGCTGCTCGCAGCTCCAGATTCTCCCCATTCTCCTCCAAACCCTCATCAATTACAGCCAGTGCTGGCTCACAGGATACACAGGCTGAGGAGAGGCTGCAAAAGGACAAAACACAGTTTGTAAGTGCAAACAAAGAAAACATTACCTGCGCTCTGGCCTAAATCCCAATGTGCATTTAAACAAAAATGGAGGCTCTTTAGTTTTATTCTAATGGCCATTTGAATATATAAGCTCACCAGCCACGTCAAGGCAAGCCTCAATAGGTGAGTTCCTACACTAGCCATTAGATATGTTTGTAAGTGACCATATGTGGTAGAAAAATAGGAAAAAAAGAAAGAGGTGTGTATATATATGTGTATATATATATATATATATATATATATATATGTGTATATATATATATATATATGTGTATATATATATATGTATATATGTATATATATGTATATGTATATATATGTATATGTATATATATATATATATATAATTTGTAGTCGGGACATAAGCCGTGAAGTATAATGATTATACCAGAATATGGAAGTCGGTTGTGGTGTGCCGAAACCAACGTATGGGGTAGGCCTGTAATAAAAGAGGGCCCACCCAAGAAAGGTTATAGAGGGTTGTGGTGGGAGGGATGAACCCAGCAATTCCAGTGCTGATTTGGCGGGGGCTGGGCTTTTACAGCCGGGTAACCCCTCCCACAATTCCAGGCTACGCCTTTCTATTTGTAGTCGGGGACATAAGCCGTGAAGTATAATGATTATACCAGAATATGGAAGTCAATTGTGGTGTGCCAAAACCGACGTATGGGGTAGGCCTGTAATAAAAGAGGGCAAAAAGGTTGGAGTAAACAATTCACTTTATTATGCATGGTTACATAGCAAGACCTTTAAATGCGGACCTTAGTTCTATTTCTGGTTGTGGAATGTAAGTGGCGTAGACCGCAGATTTCCATCGGCCTAATCTTTTAATTATGTGAGAGGGTACGTTGTGACTTGAGGCTGCCGAAGCAGCTCCAATTCTGAACGAGTGACCAGAAAACCCTGTAGGGTTGAGGCCGAGTCGGATGAACAAAGTTCTGATGTACTGAATGAACTTGGCAGTTGTTAAGGGGAAACCTTGTAATGAGAGTAGTGGGGTGTTTTGACTGAGACCTGTGAGAGTAGCCAAAAAGGTGTCAAATACTACGACGGGGCACCACTGATTGCCGGTGGGATAGTAGCAGATCTTGGTAGGTGGGCCTATTTGATTGGTTTTAGTGTGACCTAAGGTGAGTATGTAGTGATCTGTGTGTTTCTGGAGATTTGTAATTTTGAGGGGTTGATTTTGACACGAAACACTATTGGTGGTGAACTCGTTTGGTCGTAAAAACCCATAGAAAGCTAGGTAAGTCGCTGTGTTGATAACTAGTTTGGTATGGGTTTCAAAAGGTTTCGAGTCCAAGATATTGGAGAGTGCGCGAAACTTGGGACCGTCTATCGGAAGTCTGGCAGAGGTAGTGGGTCTAGTGAGTCTAATCTCAGTATGCCTTTTTAATATGTTTTTCACGGGATAGGAAGACATGAAGGGTTTAGAACTAGGGTAGGCACTGATGATATGATGTTGTATACCCGAGAGATATAGTTTAATGGTGTTCAATGATAATTTTAGGTTAAGGTGGCAGAAATAAATAAATGCAATAATGGAATCTAGAGAATGAGTGTCAGTTATATGATGATGTGTCGTGAATTTGGTGTATATGGTAAATGCTCGATTGTATGCACGAGGTGTGTTTGTGGATAGGGCTGCTCCGGCTAGATATCTGCTGTGAGATAGCAGTCTTTCTAGTCCAGGATGAGGTCTTGGAATGGGGGGGGTGCTGACCGGTCTGGAGTTGGCTGTGGGGTGTGTCCTGAAGAAGACCTGTAAGTTAAATCGAGACAATGCGTCAGCGGCTGTGTTGGTGTTTCCTGGAATGTGGATGCATGTGATGTGAAATTGTAGTGTCGCTGCTAACCAAATTAGCCTTCGGATCAATTTCATGATGGTAAGTGAGGAGGATCTACCCTTGTTGATTATGTCACAGGCTGGTTTGTTGTCGGAAAAGCATTTTACTGCTTTCCCCCGCCATAAGTGTCCCCATACTCTGGCGGCTGCCACAATCGGGTAGATCTCGAATAGGGCTGATGTAGTGGGAAATGAGGGCAAACCTAGGGTTTCTACTGGCCATGAATCTCTGAACCAGTCATTGTGATAGATTGCTGCAAACCCAGTGTGAACTGCTGCATCCAGATGACAGGTGAGGAATCTGATAAAGGAGTGATAAACATGGCTTTCCCATTCCAATGAGTTAGGAACCGTAGCCACATGAGTAGATCTGCCTTGGCGTGAGCATCTAGTGATAACGTGCTGGAGTCAGTATCGAGTAACGGGAGAAGGCACAACAATCTTGAGATGAACGCCCGGCCTTGAGGAATAATTTTCATGGCGAAGTTCAACGTGCCCAGTAAGGATTGTAGGTCTGACCTGGTACACGTGTCCTTTACCAGAAAATACTCTACCATCTCAATGATATGTCGCACCTTCTCCCGTGGTAGACTAGCCTGTAATGTAACGGTGTCTAGGTGAATACCCAAGAACGTAAGTTTTGTGGTAGGGCCTATTGTCTTTGTTGGAGACAGTGGAACCCCCAAAGTTGTAAATAGGGCCAAGGTCTTCTGGAGACTAACTGGTGAGGATTGAGGTGATTCTATTGTAAGGAAGTCATTCAGGTAGTGCAGAACTGCGGGACAGTGAGTGATATTGAGGAGTAGCCAGCATAGTGTGTCAGCAAATATGTCGAATAATTTCGGGCTACTTTTTGCTCCGAAGGTAAGGCGGGTGGCAAAGTAGTAATTGTTTTCCCATTTGATGCCGTGCACATGCCACAGGGATGGGTGGATGGGTAAGAGCTTAAAAGCGTTGGAAATATCGTTTTTTCCCAACCAGGCTCCCGCTCCTGCCCTAAGAATGGATTGAATGGCCTTGTCTACTGAGGTATATTGCAGGGAAAACTCTTCTGAAGGTATTAATGAATTGATGCTCGGGGTAGCTAAAGAATGAGGAGCGGACAAGTCGTAAATAAGTCTTTTTTTATTGTTGGACTTCCCAGTGGCAATACCTATAGGGTTGGTACGCCAGCTGGTGAACGGAGGGTGAGCGAAGGGGCCCACGATAAACCCATTAGTCAGTTCGGTCTTGAGCAGTGACTGTGTGGTGATTGGGTCAAGGATAGCTGACTGTAAGTTGGGACATTCGAGAATACCTGTGGGAAGTGTGACTAGGCCCGTGTGGAAACCCTCAGTGAAGCCTTGAATGAGGAAGTTGACGAAGGGAAGGGTGTGCCTAGAGGTAAAATGCCAGGTTGTCAATGCTAACTTCGATTAGTCATTGTTTTGGGTACAGACGATTGGGGCACATATTTATTGCATGTGCCCTGAAGCAAATTGAGCAGACGTGCAGCAGTCTGCATGAGCTAAAACCACAACTTCCTGAATTGAAGTTGTTGCAGATCTGTGCTTTCCCAAGGTATACTATGGGTCTACCCAACTTGTCCTTCAATCCTCTGTGTTCTGCAGTGGAGGAACCGAAGGTAGCACGACTAGTGGTAGGAAGGTTAGGATTGACTGGGCACAAGTTGGTGGAGTGTGAGATGGAGGCGCACAGGGCACAGGATGGAGGTTTTTGGCCAGCGAAATGGCAGCAGAAAAGTTTTGTATCCAGGTTACTCCAGTTGGTATGAGTGTTAAATTGAGTTAGGGATGCTGTCGCCTTGGCCGAAAAGGATTTATGATAATCATAGAAGGAAAAACCCCCATACTTATGTCCTAGGTCCACCAACTTGTGCATGTACAAGTCCAATTCCTCCCTACGGTGTGGGGATGTGGAACAGATTACGTCACGGTAGAGGCCAAAGGCAAGGACGAATTCA